GCGGCAGCACCTCGCGGTACCGGCTGCGCAACAGGGCGCGCACAGCCCTGCACCGAGGCCTGCGCGGCATAGCGGGGACCGACCGGCGCCCGCACGTGCGAGCTCGAACGGCGCGCGCCGCGGGAAGAGGCGGGATCCTCGGAGGAAAAGGCGTGTCTGCGGCAGAGGGGGCGGGCCCTCGGGCTGGGGGCGTGTCCTTGGGGCGGGCCCTCGGGCTGGGGGCGTGTCCTTGGGGCGGGCCCTCGGGCTGGGGGCGCGTCCTGGGGACCGGGCGGCGGAGGGGGCGTCGGCTCGAAGGTGAGGTCCGCGCGGTGTCGGGGAGGACAGGCCCGGGGACCCGTTGAACCCCCTTGGAGGAAGGGGCGAGGCGGAGCCCTGGGAGCCCAGCGCCCCTCCCCGGGCTCCGGCCCAGTCCCTCCGGTCTGCACGGGCCGGGCCGGGCCTGGGACCCGAGCCCGGGGAGGTGCGGAGCCGGCCGGCCGTGCGGTAGGCTTCTCTTGGCTGCCAGTGGCCCTGCTGGGGGAAATGTGTCCCCACGGGGGCCCTGCTAGTCCATTGCTGGGAGACCAGCCTAGAAAACGGAATTTCCAAGGCCGAGACAGGAGCCCGGGGCTCACGCCTGTCATCCTGGCTACTCAGGAGGCTGAGATCTGAGGATCGCGGAGTCCGTGAGACTCATCTCCAATGAACCACCAGAAAACCAAAAGTGGCACTATGGTTCAAGTGGTACAGTGCCAGCCTTGAGTGAAAGAACCGAGGAATAGCGCCCAGGCCCTGAGTTCAAGACCCACGACTGACAAAAAAACCACAACAACAAAAACAGGATAGAAGAGGGCTGCAGTGCTGGTGGCTCACACCTGTAATCCCAGCTGCTCAGGAAATGGAGAATTAAAGATTGTAATCCAAACCAGGTCCAACAGGAAAGTTTGTGAGACTTGGATCTCAATAACCAGCAAAACACCAAAAGTGGAGCTGTGGCTCAAGCAGTAGAACGCACTGTTTCACGTGGGGACTTACACAGGCCGCCGCACCAAGGCCAACTCCGCCACATGTGCACCACACCCGGTGGGGAAGGAGACAGAGCAAGTGGGCTCAGGCCCAAGGAGACAGAATCTCCCTCCAGAATAGATAGTGGCAAAGGGGCGGAGGTCCCCGCATGGACTCCTAGGAACCCCTGTCCCTGGGTCTGTGGAGCCCTTCAGAGAGGGCTGTGAGCAGAGGGACAGCAATCCACACCTTACCAGGCCTGGTCCAAGAGAAAAACCAAGGCAGGCAGGAGCTGTGGGGGTGGGCCACACCTTAGCAGACACCCCAGCAAAAAGGCCAAAAGTTCCTTTTCTGAAGGGGACAGAGAAAGGATCCAGAGTGGCTGACAGAGCTCCAGGCATCCCTACAGGAAGGAGGTCTGTTCCTGGGCCCTGGGAACCAACAGGCCCTCTGGGAAGGGTAGCCCTGGCGTCCTGCTTCCTGTCTTCCAGCCTACAAACCCGCTGGCCCATGCCCCATGCCCCCCCACCTGTTACTTGGCCATGCTTTAGCTGGTGTTCCTGTGGCCCCAACATTGGCACAGGGTCACAGTGGCCCAGGGAATGTAACGAGTGCGTCATTTATACAAGTTCATTACATGACAACTTCTCAATGTTCTTCTTTCGCCTTTGGACAGCAGGAGCACACAAGTAAGGGTGACCACATTAAGTGGTGGTCACCACGTTGTTGACATCCCGAAGACTGGCAGCTCTGAGAGCCCAGGCCACCACAGAGGTGTGAGGTCAGAGGTCACTGGTCCCAGGAGAGGTCACATGTTCCTTTTGCCCCTCTCCTCCTCAGCGGTGCCACCTTTGTTCATGTACACGCAGCTCCCACCTCTTATTTGCTTTCCCCCACACTTTAAACCACTCAAGAAAACCAATAAAAAGTACTTAAGGCAAAAAAAAAAAAAATCCATCCAAATGTGGTTATTTAATCCATATAGCTGGGCAAACAGTTCAGTTCCTGTTTTACATCTTTGGATTTTTGCTCCTTTGAAAGTTATTTGATGAAATTTACAAAAATGGCAAGATAAAATCATCCACCAGGATGTGGAAAGGTTGAGTTTGCTCATGGGATTAAGTGTGTTAATCACCCCCGTATGGAAACACAGGGCAAGCCGGGGTGGCTGCAGAGGCCCGCAGACTCCTTTGGGGAAGTTTGCTGTGAGCCTGAGGCGGTGGGCACGGGCTGTGGCCGCAGGAAGCGAGGCAGCTACCGCAAGCCACTGCCCTGCGCCCATCTGGGAAGCGCGCTCAGTAGGTCTACCTTTTGTTTGTAAAGAAAGGAGTTAACTGGCACTCATGCCAGGCTCCGGTAGCTCGCACCCGGAATCCCAGTTACCTAGGCGGTGTCTGCCTCAGGAAGATCACTGGTTCAAGGCCAGCCCGGGATGAGAAAGTTCATGAGATCCCATCTCAACCAATAGCTGGGCACAGTGGCAGGTGTTGCCCGTCAAACCTCCATAAGGGTGTAAACAGGAGGATTTGGGTCCAGGCTTGCTTAGACACAAGACTGTATCCTAAAAAGAACTAAAGCAACAAGTGCTGGAGCCGGGTGCTGGTAACTCACACCTATAATCCCACTACTCAGGAGGCTTAGATCTGAAGATCACAGTTTGAAGACAACCTGTGCGGGAAAGTCTCTGGGACTCTTATCTCCAATGAACCACCAAAAAGCTGGAAGTAGAGCTGTGGATCAAGTGATAGAGCACTAACCTTAAGCACAAAAGGCTCAGGGACAGTGCCCAGGCCCTGAGTTCAAGTCCTGGGACCAGCACACACACACAAAAATGTTGGAAGCTGGATGCTGGTGGCTCACGCCTGTAATCCTAGTTACTCTGGAGGCTGAGATCTGAGAATCACAGTTCAAAGCCAGCCAAGGCAGGAAAGGCCATGAGACTCTTATCTCCAATGAACCACCAGAAAACCAGAAGTGGCACTGTGGCTCAAGTGGTAGAGCGCTGGCCTTGAGCTGAAGAACTGAGGGACAGTGCCAGGCCCAGAGTTCAAGCCCCATGACCCACCAAAAAAAAAAAAAAAATGTTGGGAGACATCAGCTAGCAAGTGCAAGCCCTGAATTCAATTTGGATGTCCTGAGCCCTCTTCGGGGTGCATCTTCGTCAGGCTCTCCTGCATACCCCCGTTTCCAGTCTCTTGGAAGACCCTCGAAAGCATAGAAAACATCACATCCTGCTCAATGGACCCCGCCCACAGCCCTCCGCTGTCCAAGAAGGAAATCCAGCCTTTTCCACCAGCCTTACAAACCTCACAGCTTGGTATGGCTTGTCAGAACAGGATTCTGGAAGCAGTTCTGATCCAGAGCCACTCGGACACTAAAAGTTCTCTGGAAGAAATTGCTGACATTTTGGGTCTCAGGATTCATACAAATTTAGTTTAACAAAATCAAAAAACTCCTAACACACAAGGAAAAAGTATCAGGAATAGATGTACAAAGAGCCAGCACCACCCAAACCACAGCCTAAGCTGCAGCTACGGAGATTTCCACAATACTGTACACACGTTTACAGTACAAAAGGAGGCTAAATGGAACAAAACAGCAAGATATCAGAATAGACCAGGGAGATTTAGACAGCAGATAAAACTTCTAGAAATAAAAAATACATCTAAGTGCTGGTAGTTCACACCTATCGTAGCTTCTCAGGAGGCTGAGATCTGAGGATTAGGGTTCAAAGCCAGCCCAGACAGGAAAGTCCATGATCCCTATTTCCAATGAATGAAAGAAAAAGCCAGAAGTGGAGTTGGCTAAGTGGTAGAGAGCTAGCTTTGAGCAAAAGCTTAGAAGACAGCACCTAGGCCCAGAGTTCAAGCCCCAGGACCAGCAAAAATAAAAATAAAAAAGAAATGTGAATATGCAATTAGATAAAATTAGCTTAAAAGAAAATTAGAAATAGGAAAAGCAATCTGTTTAAAGACTTTAGGGGAAGAGAAAGTGAGCTCATGAGGCCAGCCTTGAGCAAAAAAACTGAGCAACAGATGAAGTCCTGAATTCAAGAAATTAGGTCTAGCTCAGTGCTTCACACCTATAATCCTAGCTACTCAGGAGATGCAAGCTGAGGATCATAGTTCAAAGCCGGCCCAGGCAAGAATAGTCTGTGAGACTCTTATCTCTAACCAGCAAAAAAAATGCTGGAATGGAAGGGTGGCTCAAGTGGTAGGACACCAGCCTTAAGCTAAATGAGAATTCAGTCCTCCCGTCCCCCCAAAAGGAAATTATAGACTTCTGCTGGGTGCAAGTGGCCCCTGGGGACCCAGGAGGCAGGCATAGGAAGGATAAAAACGTTTGAGGCTAGCCCAAGAGAAACGATAGCCAGATACCACCTCAATACAAAAGCCAGGAATGGCGGTTCACGTCCGTGATCCCAGCCACCCAGTAGGCATGGGCAGAAGGCTGAAATTCAAGACCCTATCAGAAAACATAAAGTAACAAGGACCTGAGGTATTAGCTCAAGTAGCATAGTTTCTGCCTGGCCCCAAGTTCAAAACTGCAGTAGCACCAGGAGAAATACAGAAAAATTTGAGTAGAGCAGAGTTTGGGAAGGAACGACGGAAGACATGAAGAAAGGCACTGCTCAGGAAAATGGCTACAGGTTTTCCCACTGTTGAGATGACACTGGACACACAAAAGCACAGTGAAGAAAAAAGAACCACACAATGACAAATCACTCAGGCAGGGAGGAGAGACAGGACGCCAGCCAAGACAGACAGCTGGAGCTGGCTCAGCCACAGGCCCTGACACAGCGTGACATTTTGGTGGCTGGACGACACCTGTGGTAGTGTCCCACGAGGCTGAATCACACAGCTCCAGCTGTGTGGATGGTCAGCTTCGTACAAGGGCAGGAGAGCCTGAGAAACTTTAGTTCTGTGAGATCGAACAGCTAGAGTCCATTGCTGCCTTCCTGGCTGTCGTGCAGTCAGACAGCGATTTTGATTGGGCTGGAATAGATAACCCTTCTCCGTGGCTCTGGGCAGATGCAGCCTCCTGTCCTTCAGCCTGTCCATAGCAGCTCTGCAACTTTTACACATCCAAGTCCTACCTTAGTTCATCTCTGAGGATGTGACTAACAGAAAGTGTGGGATGGCACCCGCTCAACTTGCTGGCTTCAAACAGCCGAGACCTGAGACTGGAGAACATTCGTGACTCAAAGGCTGCCAGAGGCCAAGTCTGCTCCTTTCCATGCTTAAGTAAATCCATCTTACATGTTCATTTCTGGGAAAAGTGAAACTTAGTATCTGAGAGACTTAGTCCAGGTCAAGAAAAAAACATCACAGCCAGAGAAATTTATTTTAAAATACAAACATACATTAATTAAGCTGAAAACAATCAAATTTTAAACAGGAGGGAAAGAGCCAGTTGATCCCAGAGTTCATATGGAATGAATTTCCATATGCATTTGAATCACATAAGGAGCACTTAAAAAAACAACTTGAAATGGAAGCCCACCATCTCCCACTTGGCAGAGGAGGGCACCGTGGAGACCCGCCCACGCCGTGACGCATCCTGTTCATGCGTGTGCTCCAGGATGGGGGAGCACGGGGGAAGCTGAGGGATTTGGCAACGTGAAGATGTGGTGTCTGGGAACTCCCCAAGCCTCCAGAGGCCCGTCCCCTGCTGACCAGGAAGCTCAGGCCAGGGCCTTCAGTCTGCATGAGATTTCCGCTTGGGCCGTTCCTCGTACGATTCCCCAAACTCATTCACTCTGCTCTTATCCACAGGATAAAGCCTGCAATGACATGGTAATCGCTAGCACTCTCCAGCATGCACCAAAGGGGCTGGGCCAGCAGGGTGCTTCTCGGCTATCTTGCCCCAGTGCTGGCCTGCTGCCCTGTGCTGGTTCACGGTGGTCTCAAGGGTTGGGTATGGACAGCATCCCCAGAACAGGGCCCAGCTCCATGGTGGGAAACTGGAACTAACTATGCAGACGTAAACGTCCTGTCTAGCTCCCTGCCCTCTGCAAGCGCTTGCTTGGCCAGTGCTTAGTCCCCTTATTTACAGGACACTGAGGGCAGGCCGGGCCGTGGACACAGTGCCTGCTGCCCAAAAGCCTTCCAGGCTAGAGCCCCACAGACAGCTGCAACAATAACACACTGGGTCCCAGATGGTCAGTTTGTGGGACTGGAGGTAGACACACAGGGCCTTGAGGAGAAAGAAGCAGGTGGGCTGTGCGGGGAACACCAGGAACAGCCCTGTGCCAGGCACATCAGTGGAAGAGTTTGCCACCAACTCCCTTCCACCTTTCCACAGCAGGGAACTGACTGCAGACCTGAGCCCCAGTAAGCCACAAGAATCATGTGTGGCACTGGGCACCCCACCAGACAGGCCACGCGAAGATGGAAACGTCTCCTCCAGACAGGCCACGCAAAGATGGAAACGTCTCCACCACCAGACAGGCCACGAGAAGATGGAAATATCCCCACCAGACAGGCCACAAAGATGGAAACGTCCCCACCAGACAGGCCACAAAGATGGAAACGTCTCCACCACCAGACAGGCCACGAGAAGATGGAAATATCACCACCAGACAGGCCACAAAGATGGAAACGTCTCCACCACCAGACAGGCCACGCAGATGGAAACATCCCCACCAGACAGGCCACGAGAAGATGGAAACGTCCCCACCAGACACGTCACTCACAGTAGATCCCAGCCTCAAGACTACATGCAGGATGGCCGTGCGCTGGGGAGGGCCAGGAGGCACTGCTGCCAGTGGGTGCTGGCTAAACCAGTGTGGCAGGAGGGAGAGCTCAAAGAGGACTCAGAAGCTGGGGCCGACAGGGGCAGCTCGAGTCCTACTGTGCTCCATGTGCTTGGGGTTGGGCCAAGACTCCTGTCCTATCAAACTCAGACCCCTGCCTGGGCCTGCAGGACCACTCACCACCGCTGATACAGGTAGACCAAAAACACCACGTCGTCCCTGAAGCAGGCCAGCCGGTGCGACGTGGGCATGGTGATGATGAAGGCGAAGACATCGTCGATGAAGGTGTTGAAAGCCTGCAAAGCCAGCGGGAAGGGCAGACAACGCCGTCTGAACCCCAGTGCTTTGTGGTAGGAGGAAGGGCGGGCGGTGCCATCTGAACCCCACTGCCAATGAACCTGAGTGGGTATGTGTCTTCGCAGAAGACACAAGACTGGGAGGCGGCCAACCACGAGACCTACCCTGTGCCAGGGAGCTCAGGGCACAGGGAGCAGGAGCAGAGCGGAGCCGCGGCCCGGCCCGGCCCTCGCCCACACAGCTGGCGGGCGAGGTAGTGCTTCCATGCACCCATGGCTCTTTGTCAACAAAAAGAAAGGGTTGGCCAGCACGGGGCTCTGGCCAGGCTAACTGCCACCCGCAGCGGGAGGTGCGCTTACCTTGTAGGTGAAGGCCTTCCAGGGCAGGTGAGCCACCGACTTCATCTGAGACAAGGAGAGGGGACAGGTGAGCCGGGCCAGCATGGACAGCAGGCCCCGCCAAGGTGAGCCGCACGACCTACCTTGTAGTTGACAAAGAGCTGGGGCAACATGAAGAGGAAGCCAAACGCATAGACACCTGCAGGGAGACGCACCACCGTGGAGACAATCCACCACGAGCCCCTGCCCACCCTGTGTGCTGCCAGGAACACACACCTGACTTGTAGGCCTGCCAGCAGGCCTGTTCCAGGCTGTCCTGGCTCCACCGGCCCGCGCCTGCTGTTAGCCTTTGCCCGTACTCAGTGCTGGGAAACACGGGAGGCCTCCGGGGAGGACACAGAGGGGGAGTCTGAGACTTACATCCCAGGGCACAACTGTTTGCAGCCAGACCTTATCTCTCATGGGCCACAGAACAACGCCCTGACTGGGGCTGGCCTGGGACAGGGAGGGGAGGGAGGTGTGCATCACACCCAAGGCAGGCTCTGCCTCTCAGACACAGGACACACTCCGTCCAGAGGCAGCGTGGGCTCCATGGACTGCCACGCAGGGTGGCTAGCTCCACCCACAGCCTGGAGTTCTGGGCAGTTCTGAGTAATCAAAGTTTAAAGAATCGCCTGCCTTTAGGGAGAGAAACAGAATAGCTGCTTGACCGGTAAAGGCTGGGGACGCATCTCGCTCAATTCAACTCAGGTGCTGTGCACTGGTCACACTGGGCACCAGGAGCATGAAAGGGGGCCTCGGCCACAGTACTAATCCCCACGCAGACTCACCATTTACAAAGCTGTTGATAAGCCACGAGTACCAGCTGAAAGAGAGGAGTTGTGGGTTCAGAAAGTCCCCATGTCCCCCATACTGCCCTCCACATGGACCCTGTGTCCACACCCTACCGCATCCTCCACACGACCCCGTGACCAAACCCCACCGCATCCTCCACACAGTCCGTGTCCACACCACACCACACTGTCCACACGGCCCCCGTGTCCTCACCACACCACACTGTCCACACGGCCCCCGTGTCCACACCACACCACACT